CCAAAGACGGCGCCAACGTTGATCGAGCCGACGACGACGATGGCGTCCGCGAGTCGGCGATGGCGGTTTTGAAGGATTTCGACGCGCGCGCGCGGCCGACGGGCGCGAGCGGCCCGCGCGGCATTATCGGACAGGGATCGCGCCCCCCTCTCCCCAGCGCGCGCGCCAGGGCGCTCGCGTGATTTCTAGACGTGCGCGCGCGAGAGGCCCGCTTAATGTCGCATTTGATGCGCGCGTTGGATAACCCATGGCCCCCTTCCGAATCCGCGATCTCGCTCTCTTCTTTGCGAGAGTTACGTTGCTAAGCCATGTGTTGTTTTAGTGTGTTTGGGTGCGCTCGATTTTGAGATCCCGTCGGGGTCCAAGGTGCCTGGGAGATTCCAGCGCGCGCGACGTCGCGCGCGTGGACTTCGCCCCATCTGTTGCAGTTTTTCTGTGCAAGCCGATGATTTGTTCGAGAAGCACGCGCGCGGTGCGCGCGTTGTTTTTTGCTGCAGGATATGACGCGGCCAGTCGATGCCAGTTTGACTGGGGCGATGCGCGCGCATTCAAAATGAGCGACGGGGCAGAACCAATGTAAATTTCGCATCCCTGGGGGGGCCGATGATCCCGGCCGCGGGAGGGGCGGCCCAGGGCGGGGGCGAGGCGGCGGCGGCGGCCGCGCGGTCGCGCGACCGAAGACGCGGCTCAGAGGGCGGGCGTCGACGAGGCGGCGTCGGCGGCCACATTTGGCAGCGGAGAATTCGCACTGTGATTTTGCGTGAGCATTTTGCTATAGGAAACGAGCCCTGTAATTAAGTATTCTTGCTCTGTTGCGCGACGTCCGCGGCGGCGCGTCTGAATTGCCGAGCCGCGTCCTGCGCTCGCGCCCCGAGTATGTGACGCGACCCTGATTATTCGAGCAAAAGCATCGCGGGGTGAACTGGCAGGAAAGACAAAGGCCCTGCGCGCCCCGACCGGGCCCTGGCCCCGCGCCGCCGCCGCGCCTCCAGGGCATTCAAAGCAGACCGCGGGCGTTACCAGAGCGACGAAACGGTTTTGCAAAAGCGAGGGGGCGGCTTCGCTCAAGTGAGGAAGCGGCATTAGTTGGGCGAGGAAGCAGCTTTAGTAAAGGCGCGCCGCTCGATGCATTCAGACAAAAAACGCGTTTTACAAGAGCGCAAAGAGAGCTTTAGTAAAGCGGAGGAACAGCTGGGGTTCAACTGCGCGCAGAAATTTCGTTCCCCCCATAGAATCTGGCCCGGGGCTCGCCCTCGCCGTCGTCGTCGTCGCCGCGACGCCCGCGCGCCTGCGTTGTTGCCGGCGGCGGGTCGCGCGCGACCGCGCGCGACGCCGCGCTCGCATCTCCGCTCGTCCGACGGGGGCCCGGGCGGACATCGCAATTTTTTTGTTGGGCCCGCAACCCGTTCAAAGTAACGGCGGGGGAAGATCGCCGCTGGCGCGTGGCCGCCAGACAGAAGACGCGGCCCAGTTCCCAAGAACAGAAGAAAGAACTCCGAAGCGCAAGCGCGGTTCGGTGAGTTATCTGAACCGTGGTCTAAACGCGTGAAGTAACGGTAGTCGTCCTGCTCCTCTGATGTTCTTGTTCCTGCCCGCTTGGAATGTCCGAGACGTGTTCGCCATGCCAAGCGCCCGCCAGGCTCGCCCGGTCTGAGTCGCGATGTCCCCGGGCGTCTCGCCGCGCTCGCGCTTGCCGAGGGGGGGGGCGCGTCTTGCAGCTGGCATCGGTCTTCGTGTCTGCGACCGTGATTAGGCAAAACTTCCCCCGCAGTTCTCGCCCTAATCCTCGCTCAGCTGCCTGGCCCAGGTTGAGCTTCTAGCGCGATTTTCTGCCCGCCTCCTCCTGCTGCTCCGCTTTCTTGGTAATCTCCGCTAAGCTCTTCTCGCATCTCTTCTCCGACAGTTTGGTTCGAGTTCCATTTGTTTGGTGCCGGTGGTGGTGGCGAGCTCTTCTCGTCTTTCTCCTCCTTCGCTTTTGATCCGAGTTTCACTCGTTTGGTTTGTTTCCTCAGGCCTGCTCATGCAGCGCGGGCTCAGCATCTGGCATCGTCCACTCTGTCGCGTACTACTGGTTTCCAGCCTGGTTCAACATTGTCGTGCGTGTCATCCAGGAGTCGCCTATGCCTTCTGCCACGTACTCTAAAGTCTAGGCTGGGAGCTCGGGTAGGTCATCGTGCATGCCGCCTGTTGCTCGGCTGCTCCTGTGCGCCCGTCGTGCGCGGTGCCATTCGTGCTTCGA